AAGCGGGTGATATACGGAAGCGCAACACATCGGACTTACGCAAGTACGAATATCTCATTATGCGTTATTGAATCCACGTTTCATCATCCCCGAGTTTCCGCTTCGGAGCCCACTTCATAACGCAAAATAAAGCTCGCAGCCGCACTCCCCTCTGCAACTTTGTCACCGGCTAACCCATCGCCCGCGACACACTGCCTCAACCTGCAGCCACTGTTTCGTAAATAACTATGCCGCCATGTGGCGTGCAGATGTTCTGAGATCACCACGCTTGGATTTTTCACGCGGCACGAGTACACGACGCGTTTCGCCGCTTATACGGCTCCAGCGGTGACAATAACCGACTGAAACTGAAGTTGGAACAGCTGCAGCTATGCAAGCATGTGTTATCGAAAGCATTTTCACTTTTGTTGGAACAGCATCTTTGCGCGAGTAAAATAGTTACCAGTACTGCCCTAAATTTCCTAAACTTGGTCTACATAAGCCGTATTTTTTCAGAATGACACCCGAATAAACGTAGCTTGTGTAACCTTGGTGACAAAGAAGTCAGCACAATGCCAACCATCCAAGAGAAAAATATATGAAGTTCGAAGTTTTTGAGTCACGTTTGAAGCTTAGTATGATACATTGAGAAACACTATCACAACAGCGTTTCTGTATGAGTTGTGCGTATAAGGCTTGAATAAACGTTTCCCTTTCCCACAAGCAAGAGAAACCAACAGACTATATCTCTTCCTTTACTTTTCCACATGTTATCTATTTGTGGCAACTTTAGTCGAAGAACTCATTTAGGAAACATGCTCAGCATTCTGTTGGCCAAGCAATTTTCGTCAGTAAGTCTCTATACAGTTCAAGTTGGTCCTCAAACCACGGCTGGAAATACATTACACATGCCACACTCCGACGTTCTACTCCACGTTGCTAAACAAAAGAGGAACTAGTCCCACAGAACCGACGAATCAATCTTCTTGTGTCTTGGTTCACTATAACTTCGATGTATTCTCGGGCATTTTCATTTAGTTTGGACGCGACTTCATAGAGGGCAGCTTCTAGCAATTCCTTGCCCAGTAACAGTATGAAATGACAAAAAAAAAAAAAAGAAACGCGTCCGTCCTTTATTCGTTATGGGTAAAATATTCTTACCGCTGACTATACCTTGTGAACCGTTACCTCCCCCCCCCCTCCCTCTAAAAAAGTAACAAACACTCGAAAGCCCCGCTTTCGCCACGTCCAGATGTAGAAAACTGCAATCCATCAACTTTGCAAGCTTCTCCAACAACGCTGAGGGTAAACTCTCAGCAACCCGAATTCATCACGCGTTGGAATTCGCTTTCCGCAAGAAAGAAACAAAAACGATAACAATACGTTTGAACGAAGACAAGCCGGAACAGTGCAATGCAACTTCGTGAGAGAAACCACGAAAACAGCTGCAGGCTCTGCGGAGCTCAGTCGTAAACTCGCCTTTCTTTTTAATTCTGTCTACGAAACGACATTTTGTGGTTGAACTTGTTTTTCGCGTCGCGTAAACAAACACTTGGTATTGCTGCGCCCGAAGCAACGCCAAGTACTTTCGATGGTCAGGGACTACAGGTGCCGTCAGAGGGAAAGTATATAGAAGAGAAACGAACAGACAACTTGGACATATGTGTGTCAACTTTATCCTTAGTCATATTCACAACAGAAAAAAAATATGAGTGCAGCTCTTTTCCACCTTCTTTGTTTGTGTGTTTTGGGAGTAAGTAACACAATCTACAAGATTTGCAAGCTACTACATCGTGCCTCACCACTTGTTAAATATTAATTTCTACAAGCTAGCTCATACCTCTGCTCTTGTAACGTTCCTAAGCTTTGGGAGTCATTCCCACCTAAAAATGTACCCGGCTTCTTACCAGGTGTTTGAACGATTTGCTTACAAAGGAAACTCAATTAGAAACAACATGCACCATTACGTCTGCCATGTTTTAATGCTCGTCTTTCTGACTCACTGAAACCGATGCCGATATACCCAAGCTCTGTGCTTATGTAAACTTGTTATCCTAATCAATTTGGGCGTCCCGCTGCTAGATAAGCTGGATTTTTCGTGACGACATTCAGCGCCATTAATCTTGGCAGTTTATCGGCCCCCACGCTTGCTAAGGGAGTTTGATGTTTCAACCAACTGTATACGGAGTGGAAATCGTCACGTCTACGCCAAGCCGAGATTATTTCCACTTTTCGCGTTCTGTCCGAATGATTATTGAGCGCTGAAAAAAAAAAAGCAATTACTTCCTCCGCGACGCGCGTCCCGTCTTTCTGCCGCGACAGTAGTTAATTGCGAGAAAGTTTGGCACTAATTATTGATGCTCACCGTGTCATTTATTTCCTTGCCCGAGGTAATAAACAGTTGAATGCTCGCTTCCGTTTCGCCGCCCAGTCATTGCATTTACTGCCGGGCGTCAGCTAGCCAAGCATGCAAGTTTCCAAAGCATCGGGCAATACGATCGCGAACGGAATCCATTTATCATTTTGTGCTTTCAGCCTCCACTTGTGCGCTATCGTGGACGAGTGGAGCGTAAAACCTTTGCATGGGAATACCAACGCGCTCACATGCGTAGCAGCGTTCACCACGCACACCAAAGTCCCAAGCTGCGATTTGTTTCCGAGCCCGTTTCGTCTGCAATTGTATAGATGAACTACACGACCTTTCCTGCTTCGTGCCTCTATGCTTTCCCTCCCCCTTACCTTCCCCATTCGTGTAGAAATGCAAGCCGGAGGCGCACTCTTGTTTCATTGCGATGGCCAGCAGAGCGGCATTTAACTAATGCGGCTGTGAGGAGACGATTGAGCACATTCAGCGCCACTGCCTATCCTACCAAACTCCAAAGCGTGCTCTATGATTGATATGTGGGGTTTAACGTCCCAAAACCACTATATGATTATGAGAGACGCCGTAGTGGAGGGCTCCGGAAATTTAGACCACCTGGAGTTCTTTAACGTGCACCCAAATCTGAGCACACGGGCCTACAACATTTCCGCCTCCATCGGAAATGCAGCCGCCGCAGCCGGGATTCGAGCCCGCGCCCTGCGGGTCAGCAGCCGAGTACCTTAGCCACTAGACCACCGCGGCGGGGCCCAAAGCGTGCTCTAGGGGCCAAACTTGGTCGCCTTGATGCAAGATTATTGTCGTGAAAGAAGGTCCTCGGACCTTGGCGTATGGCTTCACGCACACGCAAGGCCACGAAAGCCCTATTCAGCCACTTGAAGGTGACCGAACTTCACGGGCATCTGTGAACTACCACTGCGAGCTCGTGTTCTCAATAACTGTTCATTTATTTTATTACTCTCGTTCTTTGTTCTCTATAATGTCTATTATACCTTCTCCCCACGCATGGGGTAGACTAGACAACAGAGAGAAAGCTTATAGTTACCCTACCAGCCTTTCTCTTTCCCTTCTCTTTCTCTTTGAACGAAAGTAAACTACGCTTCCTACACACACACACACACACACACACACCACACACACACACACACACACACACACACACACAGTGCGCGCGCGCGTGCTATTCCAAATTAAAACTGCGAGTTTAAAAAGAGAAGGACTAAACAATTTGCAAAAAGCTCCTAAAGAACACAGCGTACATTTTTTTTTATTTATACGAAATTGAGTGGCGATGTCATTCGTGGTCCACGGCTGCTCCTTTTACTCGGTTATTAATGTGCTCTACCGAGTAAACTTTCGCGTTAGGGGCGTTTAAGGGGGCACTAACAAAGTTTGTGCGTATAAGGGGCACTAACAACGTTCTGCAGTTCATTCATTTGCGATTCATTTGCATTAATTGTAGAAAGCAAAAGTGTCCATCCCATCTAAAGCACTAGCTACACTATACGCTGAACCAGTGCACAGTAGCCAGTGCGGTGTCCCTTCCTGCATTCTTATCACGCGTCACGTGCCGATCCGCACCCCTGATTTAACTGATAGTGCCATCCGAGTCGGCGATAAAGGACGAAAGACGTAGGAAAGGAAATCAGCTGACGGAAAATAGAGTCGCTGCGCATATTGCGTTCGGAAGCAACGAACTTAACGGCCATCGCGAGGGAGGATGCGGCTGAGCAAACACGCCAAAGGCAACGCCCGGCCATGCGAGTCCGCTCTTATGGCGAAAATCTGAGCGCAGCTCGAGAATCGCACAACAGACTCTGGCGAAACCCTCTCCCCTGGGCGCTTTTTTTGCGGCAGTCTTTGGAAGGGCAAAAAAAAAGACACCGGCCCTGCGCAAGGCCTCTCGAAGATTGGATCCGTTCAACGCTGATCGGATTGAGAGAAAAGGTGAAGTAGTTCGCTGACGGAATCGAATTGAAGAGCCGCCACCTGCGTAGCTACAACTTAGACGAAAATAAAGTTGGAACTTCATGCTCGAATCAGTAGCGGAAGGCTCTTGAAAAGTAAAGCAGTTTGGGGCGGGCGTTCGGGGCGGGCGCATTTGGAGAGCACTACTCTAAGCACTCTTCACCGCAAACGGAGGAAGCGTGGCGGGAATGCCGAGAGCTGCCACGGCATTGTGTATCGCGTTGAGACCTATACTTTTCCCCTCAAAAGCAAACCGCCGGCTCTCGAGAGATCACGGAAGGTGGCGAGAAGCCGGCCCAATATTGGTTCAACTCAATGACTTCAAATAGGGCCAGCGTCGGAAAGAACCGACCACGCTACAGGCGATGTGAAGTACTGAAAGATATTCAACAACTCCTATTTTTTTTTTTCCGCGTGATAAACACCAGGTAATCTTTGCGTGGTCGATAAGAGCACGCAATGCGTAAAAAACGAGGAATGTGCGGTATCGGCTAGTGAAAAGAAAGAATGCAGGAGTGAATCCCCACAACAGGATGCGAGGCAATGAGGCACGCCCTTCGTTGCACTAAGCCACCTACTTAAAAAGAGTAGAAACCATAGTGAAGTTACACAAAAGTAAGTCCAAGGCGCTGAAGTTTTTGATAGCTTAACTTGAAACGAAACGGTCGCTTACCTTGAGCTGATGAGAGTCCGAGTAAGATCCCAAGGAGAAGGAAGGCCACTGTCGAACCGTAGCACACACAATTTCCCACTCGTCGCATCGTTGCTGCGAGGGTCGAGCGCGAAGCAAGTCAGCAAAGATGCAAAAACCTAACGAAGCACTGGGCGTCTCAAGTTCTTCCAAAACACACGCGGGGAGCGAGTTCGCGGGCGAAAATTATTCGGCAACTGCTCGCCGCTAAGCGAAAACAGGGCAGTGCGCAGAAAAGGCACGCGTTGCTTGTCTGGAGACGCGAGAAATTGCTAAGGCGGAAAATGATAGTCCAGCAGCCTAAGGCAGCAGGAAGCCTGGACAGCGTCGTTCGGGCACGCCGGACGGGACGGTCGGGCGGTGGGCGAGCCGAAACGTCCGATCCGAGAATACACGGAGAGCCCGGGCAACACCAGCCGCGCCGTAGCCAGCACACGCACCAACTCGCGACTCGCTGTCAGTGCCGCCGCCGCGCGCTTCCGCGCGCGTGCGCCCGCCAGTTACGTCACAGCGCGAGCCTCCCGCGGCGACCAATGGCGAGCCGCGCTTCGGACGCGCGCGTGGATGAAAAGTCGCGCAGAGCGTGCGCCCGAGACGCGCTGCAAACGGCGCTTGTGGATGGAACTATTTTCGTTGCTCACCGCGGCAGGGCATGACGCTGGTACAAGGGCATGTGCTGAGTCAAGTGGGAAACGCCGCGTTGACGCTCTCTTGCTGGCCGGTGCGGGCAGGAAAAGACAGCTACGTAGTGTTGGTGGTGGCTGTTCCGAGCGATGCAACAGCCTTCCCGAGTCCGGATGCCCTTTCGCTCGCTCGCTCGCTGTAGCTTTCCGGGGAATGGCGTGATTCGAGATGACTGATGTTCCGTCTCTCCCAGCGTTAGAGAGCGGTGATGAATGAACCCTGTGTCGGGTGTGGACAACACGTTCTCTGCTGAGTGCGCTACCGCCGCAGTGCCAACTACGAGGTGCGTGCGTCGGCAGGTTGGAGGTGTGGTACCGTGCGTAGGTGGCCTGCCTAGCTTTAACCTCTACCCTCTAGCGTTCGTGTCTGCCTCTAATTGGGTCAACCTGAAGCCCGCGCTATGGTGGCTAGAATTGGCCACCATACCCGCGCTCCTGTGGAAGCGTGCCGCGGTTTAAACTACAACAACAGATTAAACCGCTGCAGCAGTGGAAAGATTGCTTGTTGTCTGTTTGTTTGCCACTTCCTTGTGTGAAATATCTGTATGACTTTTTTTTCTTTCTTGCTATGTTCATGTCCTCTATTTATTTTATCCCCTCGAAACATCCAGCCGGCTTTGTGACCCCATAGAAGGCAGTTGCTGGCCTGCTTCCTCCTATTTCTTATGCGTCGTCAATTGTGTGCTCGCGTATACAGATCAAATACTAAGAATACGCGAAATTCTCCCTCACGCCCCTCTTTACTCCCCCGTACACCATCGCACAAAGAAAATATATTTTCATGTTCTCTTCTCCTCGTTGTCATTACTTACTTTCTGAAGACTTTGTTTTGATTAAGCCACATTCGTGCGTCACGATTCTGAAGTACAAAGCGCGTGCGAAAAGTGATGGATGTGGTGACAGAGAGTCTGGTGTGGAGGCTGCGTTCCGAATTCCAGGAGGGGAGACTGTTTTCGATGCTCAACTTGAAATGGTGCCGAGTGGCGACGCGAAAATTGTTCTTATGAACACCGGAAGCGCACATGCTGTCCCACACGAGGATGTCAGTAGCGTTTTTTTTTTCCTCCCTTGCTAAGACAAGATGGATGGTATCATTTCATGACAACGCCGCACGAGGTGTTTTTTTTTTACTGTAGAATTTTGTGATGGTGCGCCGTTCGTAATATACAAGCATGTCATGGTTGCCGTATGGCGGGGAGTGAGTGTTCTACGTTGGATAATGAAATAGCCTGCATATAGTTTCATTCTTTACAGGAACACACAACGAAAACTGTTGAACATGCATCGAAGGACGACAGAAGCGCACATATGGCGAATCGTATAATAATTGTTGGGACTTTATGTACCATAACCCTGATATAATTATGATTGATGTCAGAGTGCAGGGCTCTGGAAATTTTCACCATGTGGTATTCTTCAACATGCACCTAAAAATTTAAGTATGCATGGGCCTGTAGCGCTTGGCCTCCATCGAAATGCGACCGCCGGGGCCAGCAATTCGTTGCCGCGACCCTTCAGCACGGTGATAGAGTATGGAAATATATTGCCAATTCAAAAAATTTGGACCACGGACATGCCAACCTTACATGTCACAATTTCAATATTGCATCACTAGTGCTCTTTTATTACGATTGTTATATGCGTAGTTATTACGTCGAACCAGGGAACCTTTTGCTGATTATCGTAACCTACGAGCGGCAGGTCAAATTGAGAAAATGCGCCATGTTTGCTGTTAATAGTGCGCTGAAACTTCACTAAGACGAAATCGCTATTTAAGTTCACTGACACGAAGTAAGTGCTGGGGATGCGTTGAAAGACAGTGAAACAGGACACTTAAATATTTACCGCCTGCATATACAGACAGAAGGGCCGTGCTGGAAAGTGCTTAACGAAATTTTCAATAGTTAGTCGACCTCGAATCTCCCAGTGAGGTGTTACTGTGCGTCAAGTATAGTCTTGATTGATTGATATGTGGGGTTTAACAATCCCTAAATCACCATATGATAACGAGAGACGCCGCAGTGGAGGACCCTGGAAATTTCGACCGCCTGGTGTTCTTTAGCGTGCACCCAAATGTGAGCACACGGGCATATAGCATTTTCGCCTTCATAGAAAATGCAGCCACCGCAGCCGGGATTCGACCTCGCAGCCTGCGTACCTTAGCCACTATATCACCACGGCGGGGCCTTTGCGGGGGGGGGGGGGGGGGGGCGAAGGTTTATTGCAATGCCCCATTCTCATCATATCGATTATAGGGGGTTGACTTTGCACCATGATCTCGTCCCCCCCTTCTTTTTCACACAATTCTACTGTATTAGGCTGGCTTCCACTGTATCAGGCTCTATTAGTTGGTATGGAACCGCACTCTTGGAAATGAGGTGTATTGAAGGCTTGTATCTTGTGCGGCGTAAAGTCATTCGGCACGGAGTATGTTGGTGCTTGCCTCAAGAGCGCTGTTTCTTTTCTCCAAAAAGCTTCAGGTGGTCTGAGATGTCTTCGTACAATAGGAAGCCAGCGGAGGCCAGGAAATTATAATGTGTTTACGTACGAGAGCTCACGGATCGACGTTGCATAAACTACGAATACCCTGCGACGTTACGTAACCCATTTTGGTGTTATACAAGCTAACTAACGTTCAATTGACGTACTAAAGTCGGCGTAGAGAAATTCCACGCATGCTTCCGGTGTATAATTGTGCTTAATTACACTGAAACTACGCTGAGAACACCACTTTTTTTTCCACACTGGGCACTTCCACGCGTACACGTGCGTGCTGAGTCAGCGGCACTGAGACCTAATCCGCTGCAAGCACATTCAACATGCCATTCAGCAGCACCGCACCACTGCCTTACAACAACAGTTGGTTTTGATGACCCAAAGGAGGCTCTTCAGTCATCAATAGCTTAAAAGAAGTCGAGCGTAATGCGGCATCAGTCGTCGTCGATCGCATTCATCTTGTCGACAGCATTCATCCGTTGTCGACAGCCTTCGAGGGTCTCGCTATATCGCTGTTTACTTCATTCACGTCAAGGCGGAAGAAAGCCATCCATCAAGACCTGTCAGCGCAGCCTCCTTTTGTCATTACTACCGTTAACCGCTTTCCCCGCGATTCTATTATTCTCCGGAAAGTCAATTAACTCACGACTGGCTACCAGAAAACAAACCCGTACCGGCTATATGAATCGAATCTATAGGCAACGGCGCAATGATGCTTCCTGCCCATACTGACACCGCTATCGGTTCGCAGTGCAATACGGCGCATTCGATTGATTGATATGTGGGGTTTAACGTCCCAAAACCACTCTATGATTATGAGAGACGCCGTAGTGGAAGGCTCCGGAAATTTCGACCACCTGGGGTTCTTTAACGTGCCCCCAAATCTGAGCACACGGGCCTGCAACATTTCCGCCTCCATCGGAAATGCAGCCGCCGCAGCCGGGATTCGAACCCGCGCCCTGCGGGTCAGCAAATACGGCGCATTCAAAGAACACCAATTCGTCTTATATACGTTCGCGGGATTGCGGACCGCATATACGCACGTACGAAGAACGTGTCTCAATTGCGAAACATCAAAACGTGCGCGCTGTGCTGCAGGTATTGTGTGTCCTCGTTCTTCAATTTGTGCCATGGGTGAGACGGTACAAGGAGAAGCGCGCTTAATGGGAATGCGTCCTTCAGCTGGGGCTCGTTTCCAATCATTCTTTTTTTTTCTTCATTAGTACTTCACCACCAAACCGAGATCCCGGAGATGACCTTGAGAGGTGTCGGTGGCGTAAACACGCGGCTGCCAGTATAGTGCGGCAGGCCTTGAACGTGCACATGTGCGTAAGTCGATATATATATATATTATATATATATATATATATATATATATATATATATATATATATATATATATATATATATATATATATATATATATATATATATATATATATATATATATATATGTATATATATATATATATAGGTATGGGATATGGCACAACGGGAGCGTTGTCAACAAGGATAAATATATTTATTTCCCAACAGTTTCGGGAGGGGACCTCCCTTCATCAGGGGATGAGTTATACTGACATGAACTTCCTTGCTGCCGCGTCCCTCTCGCCTTGAAAGACGTTTGCGAGAGTGAGAGGGAACTGGAAGAAGGAAAAAAAAGAGAGAAAAAAGACGAAAAAAGAAAGAAAAGAAAGAAAGTAAAAAACAGGAAGAACCACTGTCAACACTGAGGACGAGGCCAACTGTCCGTCTACATCCACCTACGGTTCATATCACGTGCTGTTCAGTTCTTGGCGTGTGTCGGGCCACCCAAGATTGTCGCCGCGGTGCCGGGAGGGTCCGGGACGGCGTGCCTAAAGAAAGGGGTTTCCCCGTAATTGGTCGTTTGGTCGTTCGGCGGGCGGCGGGCGGTGTGTGTAAAGGAAAGGTTTCTCGTTAATGGGTCGGTCGGCTATTTACCTTTAATCTTCGTCCGTTTCCCTTCAACGGTCATGAAGTGGTAGGCGAACGTAAACACTTTGTATGTGCATGTGAAAAAAAAAAAAAGAAGAAGAAGAGGACAGTGTACACGTACGAGTCAGTCAGAAAAAAGCATGGTCTCCAGCTATCAATCTTTCTCACCAATTTTCTCCTGGCTTACTTCTCGGAGGCAGTTGAGTTTTCCGGGGTCCTCATTGATACCGGCTACTAATGTACGAAATTTGAAAATAAAATATGCCTCACGCTGTTCGCGCTCGCGTCTGTTTGAAAAACCGGACTG